GGTTTGGTTGCTTCAAAACGGCGCCAACACTTCCCAACAACGACTTTACCCCAATCCAAGCTGACAGGTTTGGTTGCTGCAAAATGGCGCCAACACTTCCCAACAACGACTTTACCCCAATTCCGGCTGACAGGTTTGGTTGCTTCAAAATGGCGCCAACGCCTCCCAACAACGACTTTACCCCAATTCTGGCTGACAGGTTTGGTTGCTTCTAAATGGCGCCAGCGCCTCCCAACAACGACTCTACGACAATCTTGGTTGACAGGTTTGGTTGCTTCGAACTGGCGCCGGCACTTCCCAACACTACCGACTTTACCCCAATCCAAGCCGAAATGGCAACAGCACCTCCCAACAACGACTTTACCCCAATCTTGGCTGACATGTTTCAAAATGGCGCCAGCATGTCCGAACAGCGACTTCACCCCAATCCAAGCTGACAGGTTTGGTTGCTTCGAACTGGCGCTAACACTTTCAAACACCGACTTCACCCCAATCCAAGCTGAGCTGCGTTTTTTTGTCCGCTTCTTACGGAAGATGAAAGTTGGACACAAAACTTTCACTTGATCTCGAAATCTTGCTGGGACTGCGCGCGCGGAAGGACGGGGAAGGGCTGCGGAAGGCGTTGCTCCGCGGAAGGGCGCGGAAGCACCAACTACGTAAGTCGCCGCGCCCAAAGAAGACATGTTTCGACCGAAACATACACTAGTGCTTGAACCAGCTAATGTTGACTCTTCCGGGGTTCAGGTCTGCTTCCAGGAATCCCGAGGCATGCCCAGGAACTGTTGCAAGATAAATTACGGTGCCTGCATTCGCTGAAAGGAGTATACGTAATACGTCAAGTGGGGATTATGCTCTTGCGGAAGGGTTCGCTCGTAAAAGGGTCCGCGGAAGGGCCCGCGGAAGGGACGACATGAAATGACTCAGAAAGGTGCCAACGCTTTGGGGCGCGGAAGGCTGCGGAAGCAGTGGCGGAAGGGGTTTGCGGAAGGGGTTTTGCATCCTTAGGATTGAAACAGAATAAGAGACACCGCGCTGAAATGGCAACAGCATCTCCCAACAACGACTTTACCCAATCCTGGCTGACATGTTTCAACATGGCGCAGCATGTCCGCACAACGACTTTACCCCAATCCTGGCTGACAGGTTTGGTTGCTTCAACATGGCGCCAAAACCCCCGCAACAACGACTTTACACCAATCCCGGCTGACAGGTTTGGTTGCTTCAGAATGGCGCCAAAATCTCCCAATTTACCGACTTTACCCAATCCCGGCTGACAGGTGTGGTTCAAACTGGCGTGCACTTCCCCCCAATCCTGCCAGAGTCTCCCAACAACAGCTTTACCACAGTCCCGGCTGTCAGGTGTGGTTGCTTCAGAATGGCGCCATCATCTTACAACAACGATTTTTCTCCAATCGTATCTGACAACTTCGGTTGCTTCAGAACCCCAAACCCCAAACCTGAAGCCCCAAACCCCAAAACCCCAAAACCCCAAAACCCAAAACCCAAAGCCTTAAACCCTAAACCCCAAACCCTAAAAACACCCTAAACCGCTTTCTACATCTCTCCCAGGCTTCGCTGGGGTCAACCTCTTCTCGTCGAGGTGGGGACAATTTTGGGGGAGCTGGTCCTTCCGAGTCCCAGGGTATATACCAGGCTATACGGATCGACGATCATGCATGTAATATGCTATACTTTTGTAGCATACTATAAGAATCTAGTAGAGTACACGGCAGTATACGCATGATATGATGCCTAAGACCCTCCCCCAAGCCCAATGATAATGACCCTGAAGCCGATGAATTCATGAACCCTAGAAAAAAAGCCCCAGAGCCCTACGCCCTAAACCCCAACCCCTAAACCCTAAACCCCTAAACCCCTAAACCCACGCCCTAAACCCCACTGGGCCGGCAGTCGCTTCCGAGCCAGTCGCTCCCCATCGAGTTTTGGCTGAACCCGGCAGTGGCCTCAAAGGTCGGATCCAAGGAAAGCACAGCTGCACGGTAGTATGGTTTAGGGTTTAGGGTTTAGGGTTTAGGGTTTAGGGGTATGGGTGTATGGAGGCATGGATGCGCATGTATGCATGTAAACATCCCCTTGATCGGTCTATTTCTCGAGTCAAGCCAAGTCAGCTCAAGATTGAACCCAACTCATCCCGATCATGAATTCTCCCTTCCTCACCCCTTCCCTGCCTCCATCCCTCCAGCCATCTCTCCATCCAGCTTTCTTGAGGCCTCGGCTTCTGGCCGCAAGCAGCTGCGTGCAGCCGCCGTGGCGCTGCGTCCGCTGAGGCTTTTCGCCATTGCTCGGGGCAAATTGGGGGACTTGGGGCGGTACACGCGGTTATACACGAATACATGCGATTATCTAGGGTTGTACAGGTTATATCGGGCTTAATACAGTGATCTAGGGGCCGACTTACTTCTGCACCAGACCTTGTCGGGATTTGCGAGTTTATAGGTCCGAATTGAGTGAGTTTCGGGACTCGCACTCTGCAGGCAGCATCTGACCTGGCAGATCTACTGGCCGGTCACTTGGAGGACAAAGGGTGCAGAAAAGTTCGGGGAGCAAGAGGAGTTTCCGATCAAACCATAGTGGTCCGCGGTGGGGAAGGATCTGCCAGCTTGGAGGGTCAGCAGTTCCCAGAGACTCCAATATCCCTTAATTAAGGAATATACCTTGAATCATATTAAGGGTCCTACTATCATTTAAGGTATATTCCTTAATTAAGGGGTATTGGAGTCTCTGGGTTGATCCTTGGTGAAGCAACCTCCCTGGCCCATCTCTGGAGGGCCAACAGCTCGGAGAAGGCGACGGAGTTCTGCATATCAGGCATGGCCTCCACATGGGTGGTTGTCAAAATGATGGTCCCTTTTTGGGTCCTTATTATAATACGGCACCTATTATTTAGGGTACCCCAAAAGGGACCATAATTTTGACAACTACCCACATGTCCATGCAGCTTTTGATGTTGGGGGCCTGGGCGGAAGCCGACCAGAGACATGTCTTGTTCCGCTCAATCCCGAGCCCACGGGTTACCCTGGATCAGGATCCGACCTGACCAACTTTGATGCAGGAGGCTTCGTGTGCATGGCCTTTGGCAAGGTGCCACTCTGTCGGGTTTTAAGGGTGTCAGATGCGCCCCCCGAGTTTTGTTTGTTGTGTCTGCGCCTGTTCGGACTCCGGGGGTCAGACTTTCCAGAGTCCTCCCTAAACCCTAAACCCTAAACCCTAAACCCTAAACCCTAAGCCCTACACCGCCGCTTCCGCTTCGTTGTCACCGGCTCATCAGTGCCTGATCCAGGCCTCCGACTCGGCCGCGGCCCTGCTGGAAGAGGCGTGTCCCGATGTTCGATCTCGCGGCTCCTGGAAGAATTTGGGCATTTCAGAAAACTAGGGTACCTCATTTTGGGGTTCTTATAATAAGGATCCTACTACTTAGGGTTCTATATCAGGGTCCCTTATTTTCTGAAACTCCCATTTCGAGCTCTCATTGCATGCTCAGAAGAACCGAGAAACATCTTGGAGCAACCCAGAGAATGCGCGCAGTGCCGAGCGGGTTTTGCGCGACTGGTTGGGCATTTCGAGAGCCCCTGCGAAGCCTTCGGCACCCAAGCCTATCGAGCCCATGCCATACAGCCTACACCCTAAGCCTCAAGCCCTTATCACCGAAACCCCAAACCTTAAACCCTAATTCCTTGAATTCTAAACCCTACATCCTTAAACCCCGAATCCTTAAACGCACAAGTTTTATAAACCTTGCACGTATTGGGAGACAGATAAGACAAGGACCCTAAACCCTAAACCCCTAAACCCTAAACCCTAAACCCCTAAACCCTAAACCCTAAACCCTAAACCCTGAACCCTAAGAGGGAGACGAGAGCCAGGCTGCCCACCTTCGCTGCGTGGAAGACGGCGACTTTGAGAAGGCCCCGCTCAAAGCAACAAGGTCAAGCCGGGAACCCAAAAACCAACGGAACATGCACATGAGTTGTAGACGTCGTAGTAATAGCGCAAGGGAACCTTTTTTTCTGC